AATATTTTGTTAAAAAAAAAACGATAATAAACTATTTTTTCAAAACTGCACAAATTTATTTACTATTTTTTCAAAACCGCGCAAACTCATTTCCAGGTAGTGTAGCTGTAAATTAGGAATTATATAAAACTAATAAAACAAAAATTAGTTGCAAGTGCAGCCATTAAATTGGAAACAAGTAAAGGTTTAATTGTTTAGCCTTAGAACAAAATATACTAATAAAAAGATAAAAGTAACTAGCAAGGTGACTTTTAAATTAAAAAAGATGGATTGCTTATTTAGCAGCAGAGAAGATAATATAATACAATTTAATAAAACAATATATTTAAATCAACTTGCTGAAGAAACTTTAATTGCATTTTAATTATTAATTTATCAATTTCTTAATTGTAAACAAAAAAAGAATAATTTAAATAAATATTGTTCAATATTATATATTGTAATACTTGAAGCAAAAGAAATTCTAATAATATTGAAGAAATATTTGCTTCTTGTAAATAATAATATACAAGTTATTCGATTAAGCACGTCGGAACTTATAACGATGTTCACGCCACCGTGACTTATCACGGCCAATATAAATTTCCCAGATGATTAACTCGCAATCGTTCTTACTCATCTCATTCTTACCCATAAAAAAAAAAAAAAGGAATATCATTTATTTTTGCTGCATTATCCCCGTTCTTCCTTTTATCATTCCTTTTATCATTTTTACATCCTGGCTGTTGCTTCCGATCGTTTTTTATTTAGTTATATTACAGGTTCTTAGGATAATGACCAACATACTGTAAGTTAAAGCATATTATACGATCTGATTGATACATCATCTTTATCTATTCACAGCTCTCACTTAAGTAATTAATACCTCAGCCTCGAACAATACTCAGAAGAGATTTCCTTAAACAATACTTTGGAAGGCACATCCTCAACATCCGAAATTCCTCCGATTCCTCCTTGTTTTATAGGGTTAGAAGAACAGTGGATTGATCTCAATAAAAACGGAAGAGGTTTGTTCATTATTAATTATTCTTGAATATAGCTAGTTCTGTATTAAAGGTTACTTACTATATACTATGATTTCGAAAAGAAATCTGGTTCAAGACACATATTCATTGTTCAAAAAGTAAGTATTTAATTTATTATTGCTTTGCTACGATAATACTATTAAACAATTTATTTTTTTGCAGAGGAAAAGATCACTCCCTTAGAACCTCTTGCCAACTTTTTTAGAAGAGCATTACAATCGAACGCCGAAGATCAGGAAGAGGATCCGGACGACGAAGATTTTAACTACCAAGAGTCTGAATCATGTATTCTCACCGACGACAAAACATCATCGGAGGAATCCGTCGACGAATAATTTTAAGCAGAACGCTCTTCGAGTTATGAATAATTTGAGAAAAAGACAAAAAGCTTATGTAATCCGTGCTTTAATTGATATTTCTTGTGCAACACCTTCTCAGTTAACTTCATATATGTTCCTCCAAGTTAAAGTCAGTGTAGGTCTAAAGTCATTTATTTGAATGCAAATCAGACACGTATGTAGATGTAAGATTTATATTTAGACGCGAAGTCCGAATTGTATTTACTCATTGATTGCTACTAATAATGAATGTATCAAACATAAATTACGTATAAGGATTAAATAAAATTCATGCATTAATTTTTTCTATAAAAATCCTATTACAATGAAAATTCAGAATAACACATTTTATATAGAAAAGGCTTATTCAATCTGTTTCCGTGATAATTAATTAAATTCTCCGTAATTTTTTTCATTTTTCATATTTGTGCGACTTTTTCAAAATTGGTACCGTAATTTACAATCGTAACATCTGTTTAGTAATGAGTCTATTCAAACGGTATATTATTTTATTGTCACAAATAATAAGAAAGTCAATTTCAAAATTGTTTGTGCCATGTTGGGTTGTAGTCGCACAATCGTAACTAAATATGACTAAAATTGTACAATTAATTGTTTTTATAGTTATGGGTAATAAATAGGATTTGATTCATAAAAAAAATTCATTTCAATATCTCAAACCCTAAAAATTATATTATTTATATATAATACTAACTGTTAGTGTCATGTCAAAAGCTATAGTTAAATTCAGTTTGTGTTACATTGCAAATTTTCAATCTGCGATATACCAACTATTTTAAGCTAATTGGGCAAATCCAACTTGACGATTGCCTTGATCAAAAATGGTGTATACGTTCTTTAAGAATGCACTGCCAATATACCATTCTGTATCCGATCCTGAAGGATTTTGAAAAAAAGAATACCTTTTAAACATTTTGATTAAAAACACATTAAACAAATAGTATAATTACCAGTATTATCGTAAACAACAGCTCCAATGCAATCATCTTCATCTATTTCAACTGTAAAATCTCTAGGATCTATATTCCAAGTCTTACCGCCGAATACCAGACTAATTTCATGTTGTTCTTCACAAGGTAGTGCGTAGGTCCCATCTCCATTGTCTATAGCAGTGACAATTTCATCATAAAATGTACTAGCATCATCTGGTGGCAAAATTATTCGTGTGGCCCCATTATCAATAATTCCAGTACGTCCTTCGAGATTTAATTCATCGCCATCGACAACGCAGTTATCAATAGGGATCTTCCATAAACCGCCATTATCTTCTACTAGATGTGTAAAGGTAAGTGTATCAGCATGGTATCTATCTGGATTACTCCCACCGATTGTTAATTCGCTTGGTGATTGATCTGCATCTCTCCCAAGCATAAAAGAGAATTGTGGATTATCGAGTTGTTTATTATTTATAAGGTTCGTGATTGGTGTGGTTTGTTCGTTTGAACTTGCTTCGCTAAATGCCATCCCTATTATACCCACATATTGGTGTTCAAAATCATCAGAAATTTCATTAATCACTCCAAACTCTTGTGCTTGTACCGAAATACCCGCTATTACAATAGTGGTCTTGGCTGAATCCCCCTTTGCTTCTGTGCCATCAGCGTATTCGATTGCGAAAGCTTTTCCATCGATTGGACTGAAAGATGTATCAAGATCTGAATCATATTTAGGTTGATCTTCGCATGCAGGTGAATCACAATTTTTACCAAAAACAAATAAATCGCCTGATCCTGTATCAAATTGTATATCAAAAGTCTGTGGGGTGCCCGTGCCAAAGGTAATTTGTCCAAAATAAGCAATATCTGGTTCTTGTTGTTCTACTGGCATGGTTCCAATTGCTCGTCTGGAAAGCCTGCGACGAGTGATTGATTTCGACTTTAGTGGAATTGTATGCACATTAGGTTTGTCATGGGGTAATGCATCAACAGATAGAAAAATTGCTATTGCGAATGTAAATATATGCAAAGCGAGCATGATGAATTAAGAGTAGTATTGAGAAAGATATCTTATGTGAGTGATTTTATTCACAAAGAAATTGCATTCTGGCTTCATTTTTAAATATTTTGAGAATGCTGATCGAATAAGGTTCCGATAATTTTACTCAAATTAGGGATGATCTTAAAATGAATTTCACCTTTATAATATGAAAATTTTGTCGATCTTAAATAATGGATTGTTATATCGGCGGATTTGTGTAATATAAATTTATTATAGAACCAAATTTAATTAATTTACTGATAATATGCGTCCGTCAGTCACGGCGAGAATCACTATGTCATTTCCCGAATGGACGTTTTCCCGAAAACTTCGAGCAGAGTTTCATAATGTAGGTCAAACTTTTCGGGAAAACGTCCATTCGGGAAAATGGCCTTCGTGATAACCGTTCGGCTGAAATCCACCGATATGAAAAATTAAGTTCTTATTTAGTGTATTTACCAGTATCGATTATAGAGTATCACTCCTTACGAATATCTATCCTATAAATACTTTTTTTTGTTTGATAATTATTTAGGTATTCGATAACTTTAGGCAAGTGTTTAACCACATGCTCTTATTAATCTAGAATTAGAGGATATTGATTCAACAGCATACTGAATCTTATAAACATACAGTATTTCATCTGCGCGTATCTAAAAATTTTTGAGATCTAACTAGGGATGGGGACGGTTCGAAAAGAGCGACTCCGAGTCGGTTCTGGAACCGATTATAAATTCAGCATATTCTGGGTTTCCCTGAGTTACAAACCATTTTTAACCAATTTTAAAAATCGAACCGGAACCGACTCCGGACCGGTTCCAAGAGTCGGCTCAAAATCGGATTGTCATCAAATTAAAGGTAATAATAGGACGAATTTGTTTGATAACCAGTCAAAAAATTTTTTTAAATTGATCATCAAATGATGCTCTATTAGTATAAATTTAACTTAACGCTCAAAGTTTAATTTACTTAAGAAGAGTCGAAGTAGAACCGAAGAGGAACCGAAATGGAACCGATAGAACCGTCCCCATCCCTAGATCTAACCCCAATTTTGTAGGTCAAATTTACAATGACAGTCAATAAATTGACATTATTGTAACACCGTCAATAAGCATTTTAATTGGTCACAAAATTGAGTTTCACGAAATAATTTTTTTTTACTTTTATAACGAAATGTTACGGCTGTTATGCGTATTAATTTTTTTTTTGTTTTTGAATAAATGGCCAACACAGAAAATCCATATCTATCCTTTTGATCCAGTTATTAAATTTAAGCCAATTGCTATTTGTACATGTTTAATGGGTTATATAATTTATATATGGTTAGGGTGTGACAAATAATATATTGTTTACCAAAAAAATTCTAATTTCTTATAATACGGTGACTTCCAAATGTTATGCATCATTTGGAGAAAAATTAAAAAAAAAGCAATATTTCTTAAATCATATAACATGACGTAAAAATTTTTTCTAAGTATAGGAAGATTGGGTCGCATTCAACTTACCGACTCATTTGGCCGACAGGTACATTTTACCGACAATTAGATTACCGACGATCATTTTACCGACAAGTACATTTTACCGACAATCAAATTACCGACTTATTATTTTTTTTTCTATGGGAAATTCATGACAATTGCCAATTAAGAAAATTCAGATGATAATTACAATATGAAATACTATTTATTATAAAATACAATACAAAATATTACTTAATATAGAAAAGTTTTATTTAATGTATTTGAAATATTACATTCTAATTAAAGTTAAAATTATTTTATGTATTATTACATATACGATCAATAACAATTTTTTTTCTTATCTTTTTTCTTCAAAGTTTTCTAATGAATAATATTATTTGCAAAGCTGTTTTTTCTACTCATAATAAAGTTAAACTTAATATTCATGGCTATCTTATGGTTAAAAATAAAAATAGAGGAAATTTATATTATTGGTATTGTGAAAAACAAAACTTATTAAAAAGCTATGGAAGAGCTACTACTAAATTGATTGAAGATCAGCATTATCTTCAAAAAACTTCAGATCATAACCATGTTGCTGATGCCAGTCGTGTTAATGTAATAAACTATTAATATATTAAAAGAAAGGTCACAACAAACTAATAAACAACCTGCACAAATTATTCAAACTATTGTTGCAAGTAGTTCACATGAAATATATTCATACTTACTATTACGTGATGCACTTCATCAAACAGTTAAACAAGTTTGATATGTTAATATTCCTGCAGAGCCAACATCTTTGGAAAATCTTACCATTCCTGAAAATATATGAGTAATTTTAAATGGATTGGAGTTTTTAGTTAGAGATTCAACCATAAGTGATGGAAGAGTATTAATGTTTACAACTGTTGTTAATATAATACATTTAGCATAATCACTATTCTGAATTATGGATAGTACTTTTAAGACAGTTCCAACAATTTTTAAACAACTATACACAATTCATAGACATGTTGGTGAAAATGAAAATTCACAGATTATGCCACTAGTATTTGCATTAATGTCTCACAAATCTGAAGTATACTATAGAACATTATTTCAGGATTTAATTGATTTTAGTGATGAGCATAATATTGATTTACAACCACAGTTTGTTTTAATAGATTTTGAACAAGCTGTAATTAATGCTATCTGTACAGAATTTCAAGGAATGCAAAATAAAGGTTGTCATTTTCATTTTATCTCAAAATATATATCGTAAAATATAGGCTTTTGGTCTTACTATTCAGTATGAAACTGATGAAAACTTTAGTTTATTTATTTGTCATATTTTAGCACTTGCATTTTTACCTTACAATGAAATTCCTACAGTTTTTAATGAATTGAAAACTAATATACTAGCAGAAGCAAGCTAAATTTTAAATTAGTTCGACAATTATTATATTCATAGAAAAATTAGATATATATTACGAAATGGAAATGTAATTCAGTATGAATTATTATTTCCACCTTTACTTTGGTCTGTTACTGACAATATTGAATATTCATTTTCAAGAACTTCAAATAATGTGAAGGCTTGGTATAAAATATAGAAAACATTAGTAGGTCATGCTCATGTAGGTGTATTTAAAATTATAAAGGAACTACAAAATAAGCAAAAATAAGTGTAGCTTCATGTAAAATTCATTTTACAAGGGTATCACGATCATTATAAAGAAAATAAAATTGTGAATGTGAAGATTGTATATAAACAATATATAATGATTGTAAAAATAGAGAACTTATAGATTACTTTAGAGGGATTGCTCACAATCTTTCATTTTAAATTTGTGATTTTGTTAAAAGAATGATATTTGTTTGTTGCAAAATATAAAATTTTCTTTTACAAACTACTGAATAAAAAATATATAATTTTTCAGTGAAATAATCATGTTGTTGAAATAACTATGTCAGTAAAATAATCGTTAGTAATTCAAGTGTCAGTAAAATATACCTGTTAATTAAATAATTGTCAGTTAAATAATTGTTTGTAAAATAATTGTCAGTTAATTAAACTAGACCCAAAAGATTATATTTATTATGTGGTAATATTTTAATTGTATATTATTATACAAAATAAGATTTTTTTGTCCATCTTTTTCAAAAATAATGATGTTTACATATCAATTACTATATATAGTTATATAGAATTTATTAAACAACTAGCAAAAAAATTTTTTAAACTACTTTTTCAACCCTCTTTTCTATCTATTTTATTTAAATTTTCAAAAAAATGGAACATTTATCTATTGGAAAATGAAATAGAATACATCACTTATTCAAGAAGAGAGTCTATTTTATTTTATTGCTTTATATGAGAAGGCTCAATCTATTATTATTAAAATAAAGCAAAAGGTAAAAGCTACAGATTTTATAAAGGATTTACCAAAGGCAAATCATCTAAGATATTTACAGGAAAAGATGAGCATAATATTATAAGAATACTTTTATTTAAAAAGTATTCTACTATTGTAGTTCAGTGTATTTTCAAATTTAAAAATCAAATCTAAAATATTTTTTAATCATATCTCAAAATTTAATTAGTGTTTGATCGTTATTTTTATAAAAATTTCAAAATTAAAATAACTATTAAAATATATTCTTTCAAATATGTAATTTCATAATGCATACTGATCAATAAGCTTTATAAATTAGTTTTTAAATTATTTTTAGACTTAATTACATTTCTATATATATATATATATATGTTATTTAGTAATGCCAATTTTAAAACCAGAAACTAAAAATTTATCTTGTATATTCAATTCTATCATTAGTAAATATTTAGAAAGCTAATTAGTACTATGTGAAATTAAAGAAAAATAGAGATAGTGATATGCATCAACTGAAATAGCAAAGAATAAAATTACAATTTTAGCTAAATATTATTTTGAATTAAATTCATTACTTGATTCTTTAGAAATTAGTCTTTATATAAAAAATATTATAATAATGTTATTACTAGAGATTCTTTTATTAATCAATTAAAAAAAGCTAATAATTTAATTTTTTTAGATAAAGAAAGTAAAAGAAAAAGGTTGAAATTTTCCAATAACGATAATAATAAATTGCAAGCTTATTATAATTTTAAAGTTTAAGTATCTTTACCAGATCCAGAATATAAAAATAAAATTAATGAATTAATGCATCTTAATAAGCAATTATTATCTAAAATTAATGAATTAAAGCATCTTAATAAGTAATTACTATCTGAAAATAAAATATTAAAAATAAAGTTAGATAGTTGATTTGCTAATCAAGAAAATCATATCAAAGCTATAATAGATATTATTAAAAAAGAATAAGAAAATTTATATAATAACATAATAAATTTAATATATGATCATAAAAAATTTTAATTAAATAATCTCTTAAAGTATTTTCTTTTTTAATAATTTATTAAACAAAATCTGATTGTTGTAAAATTTATAAAAATTCTTACATATAATAAAAATAAAATCAATATAAGAATGAAAAAATAATTCAAATGTGCTATAGCAGTTGATGTAATTTATGGTATTAGACATCTAAAATATGTATCTGCTATTAATTTAATAGTATTAGCAATCAAGTATTCTATTGCAAGATTTAAATTAATCATTGATATTGATAACCAATTTATTAATGCTAAAGGTTATACTAAATTTATTAAATGGTAAGAAATTTTAGCTAATAAACCATAACCATTTCTAATGGGTTTAGTATTTATGGTATTTGATAATGAACAAAAGTGTCAAAAAAATTATTTAGATCATGAATATAATACAATTATTTATCATACTATTACAAGTTTTGTTTTATTAAATTATGATCCTATTAATCATATACAAAATTTTGAAGGCCCTTAATTACATAAATCCTTTTAATGCATTGCAAACTGAAGAATTATTTGATATTACTCCTAAGATGCAAACATTAATCGATCAATAACTTTATAATTATCATTTTGTTATCTTGACTAAAGCATGTATAGAAAAAAATGAAAATATAAATGCTATTAATAATTTAGTAATCAATCAAAATATAAAAATAGGTAAATAGAAATAGTATCATGAATGTAGTAAAAATTAAATATAAAAATTCAAAATGTAAATGTTCTCAATATAATATAAAACTTCTCACACTTACTAAACCTGAGAAGCAATTAACTAAACAGTACTTAAAAAAAATACAATCAAACCTTTAATTTTTAAATCCTATTAATCTGAAATAAATACTTTCAAAAAGCTTATAAATTCAATTAATACAATTAGTATAATCCAAAAATCCAATCAAAAAAACATTAATATACCTAATATTCTTATTTCAGATTCTATACCAATCAATTCAAACTTGATTAAAAATGTTTAAAAAGTTATAAAAAATATTAAAGAAATCAGTGGGATTAATAAAAGTGTATAAAAATAAATTATAGTAGTTTATAATAGAATTTTTTACCATTATACACAAAAATTTAAAATAATTATTTAGAAATTCTTTTAATACTCAGTCTGCTTCATAAGAAAATGAATATGTTGAAATCCTTTTATAAAATTAAATTGGTAAGTTATAATTTCATAATATTATAACAGAACTATCATAACTTAATTGATCTATATAATGTATTATAAATAGTTACATAAGTGATACAGTTAATATTATCAACTTAATAGATGTATTTAATTATATAATACAAGAAAGTACAGATCAAAATGTTAAACATGTCAAACATATTTAACATATTTAATATATTTGATATATTAGACATATCTAACATATATTATATATTAAATTTACATTAAAAAAATATATAAAAAAGACTAAATTCTTAATAAGAAAGTAACTATTAATTGCTAGATGCAATCTGATCAGTTCAGCAATGATTATGTGTAACCTCTTTTTATGAATATAGTGCAATGCTACTCTTTTCTATTTGTGATTAATTCTTCTTTTGTATTTTCTTATTTTAGTATTTTAGTATTTTAGCTTTTAATTTATTTATTTACTAATAATCTTTATTCAATTTACTTGAGACATTTTATAACACCTGATATTAGTAATGTAATTTACGTTTATTTTTAATTTAACATATGAAAATATACTTAATAGTGTATTGAATATATTTAACAGTATATAGTAGATGAATTATACATTCATTATAGATTTGAATATATTTTTCAATATACAACAGAATCTAATTAACTGAGATGTAAATATATTTTCAATATATAAAAGAACTTAATTACAGATCTCAGCGAAAGTAATGGCACTCAGTTTTTTAATAATTTGTGCGTAATTTTATAATAAAAAATCAAAAAAAAAATTTATTTTCTGAAAGACCGACTAAATTATATATATTTTATTAATTAATTAATATTTGGTATAGCTTTCTTCTATATCAATACATGCTTTAATATGACTTAACATACTATTAATGCAGTTAACTATTGTGATATTTTCAATATCATCCCATTCCTTCTTAATTAAACTTAAAAAAATTTCTTTTGAGATTTTTTTCCTTTGTGCCACCATTTTCTTGACCTCTTTCTCAACATTTTTCTTTAAAATAGCTCAAACATTCTTAATAGGATTAAGGTCAGGACTAAGAAAAAACCTGACCCAGAAAGTGAGTTTTCAAGTTACCTTGAACATCACGAAAAGTATATTTTAGGTCATTATCTTGCTAAAAGACCTATCAGTTATCATGTATTATACTTGCATTATCATATAAATGTTTATTCAAAATTTGGCAGTATAAATGATAATCCAAATTTTCAGTGAACATGTGTATGCCAATTTTTCTCTTAACGCTAA